TGTGATCATGGCCATTTCATGAGTGTCAGGCTCCTTTCGTTCTTGGGTGAATCCATCTTCATAGTTTGCCTTCTAAGTTCATATGCAGTGATATTTCTAATTAGCTCATCCAACTTAAGAGTGACAATATTCTTTGATTCCTGAATAGCAGTGATTTTGCTTTCCCAAAAGAATGGCAAAATCCTTGTCAAAATCTTCTCAACTTTGTCTTCTTCAAGAATAACCCTTCCAAGAGACTTAAGTTCATTTGTCAGTGTGCTGAACCTTGTATACATCTCCTGAATGGTTTCCCCTTCCTTGATGGTGAAATTCTCATATTGAGAATACAACAGTGTTCCTATGGACCTCTTCACTTGAGGTGTTCCTTCATGAGCCACTTGCAAAGTGTCCGAAATTTTCTTAGCAGTGGTACAACTTTGAATTCTTTTGTACTCGTCTGGTCCAAGTCTACACTAAAGCCATTTCTTGGCCTTGGCATTCTTTTCGCATTTCCTCAATTACTCAGCAGTGCAGTCAGCTCTTGTTTTTGTCATATCTACTCCTTCAGCATTCTTCTTTGTACTAGGTAGGGGACCATGAGTGACAATGTCCCATAATTCATAGTTTTCTCCAATGATGTGGTCTCTCATTCTATTTTTCCACTAGGAATAGTACTGCCATTGAAGAGTGGTGGCCTAGCAGTGGATTATCCTTCCCAATTTCCAGGTGGTGCACTCATCTTGATCTTTTCCTAAGGTGTTAGCCTCTTCAAGGATATCCCACTCTGATACTAGTTGATGTTTTAAATTCAATACCACACAAGGGGGGGGGGGGGGGGGAGGGAGGTGATTTGTGTGGTGTCCCAATTTTTGCTTAAACTGATTATGGAAGGACATGTTCTTCTAAATGTACCTTAACCTACTATTGCAGAAATAGTAAATATGGAAAGTAAAGAACACAAGTATTTTATGTGAAAAATACCTGGCTCAAAAGGTGAAAAAACCACGACCTACTTCCCAGTAGAAATTTCCCAAACTCTTCACTAAATCACTAAGCCAAAAATTACATTTACAAAATACTTTTGTAATCCTAGGATTAACTCTAATCCTATTGTTGCAAACAACCTCTAAATATTGCGACAACCTCAAGTTAACTCTCACTTGAATACTCTGAGTACCTATTACAATTGCCTCTAGATAAAGCTGAAAGGTACAATATGAAATCACCTAATACAACTGAACTAGAATAAAAGACAGACACTTGGAACTGGTTCTTCTATCTGGTTCATATAGCTTCAGGTTTGCACACTTGAATCACACACAAACTTCTTGCAAAAAAGCCTTGCTATTTTTGCTCACAATTCACATTTAACTTCTGCATTTGTGCGTTACCTGTAATGCGAGAATATCCTGCAATTTCTAGAGTTAGTAGATGAAGAAATAACTAGAGTTCTAATTCTACTCTTCCTTGGTGGAAGAGTTCTAGTTGATCTCAACTTCTAACTCCTTCCCTATCTTGGATAGTATTCTCTTTGAGTAAGGAGTCCTTCTCCTTATCAATTTTGCAGCCTTTTCGATCAGGAGATATTAAATATACCAAGTTAAGCTTAATTCCTTCACGTGAATCTCACAAGAGATGGACCTGGTTCATGCCTGAGCTTCCTTTGTTAATCTTCAAAACTAACCTTCACTTGGTCCAACAGACCTTGTTCCCTAGGTGCAGCTATAAATAATGAGCTCTGCCATCATTGTAAAGGGGACGGATTTTCTGACAAACATACACTATACTTTGTTCAAAGCTCAATAATATTTTACTTTCTTGCTTATCTATATTGCTCTTATTGCCACCGAAAGCCTTGCTTCCGGGCTCAAGATCTCTAATGTTTAATCTCGATTTCAATGTTAAGTCTTACATTTTCGTCTAATTTATTTATTATTTTAGGATCAAATCGATTCACTTGTCTATAAATCACGTATATATTCAACCGTACCGTTTTACGGGTAAAAAGTTCAAGTTTTAAAATTGTGTTTCAATTAATTTTTCTTAAAATTATTTTGTCATTTCATTAAATTTCATTTAAAAATACAAAATCTTGCAAGAATGATCATTTAAGTGAGATATGTAAAGTTGAGTAACTTTCGAAAGATAAAATAAAAATTTATAATTTTGTGGCCAATTATCCAAAGTTAAATGACCATCTGAACTATCAACTCGAATTCAACTACTTATTTGTAATTGAATCACATAAAACGAAAACGTGTGTATCTCATGGACGTAACATAATTCATATACCTAAACACAAGATTAAAAAATTAAATGTTGTTCAAGTGGAACTCATTAGAAAAGGACAGCGTTTAAAGTGAGAGGATCAAAATATTTAATTTCCCAGGTAAAGTTGGACATTATAAATATAGAATATGATATTTAGAGATTACATATTAATATTATAAATCAAATTTTTAATAATTAAATATAATTAGAATGTGAATAATTACAATTAAAGGTTAATGTCGCACACTCCTGTCATGTGACTTAATTTCGGATACATTTCCTGTATTTCAAAATCAAACACTTAACACCCTATATATTATGAAAATCCTACACTTATTTCCTTGTAATATATTTAGTTACATAAATACCTCATATGGGGTGTATGAATAGGATTTCCATAATATTGGGGGTAATAAGTTATGCTATTATGGTTTTGATGCTCTGTCAAACTTTATTAAGGAATGAGATAGGAATCTGATGCGATCAGTTCTTTGGCGCCTGTTGTGATATGCTTCGTGGTCTGGCCAAACATCCTCGAGAAACTGATAGGGAAACAAATAAGGGAATAGGTAGGATCAGTTCTCCAGCTGTCGTACATGTAACTCTATAGTTATTAAAGTTACATATATACCTCATAAGGGGTGTAAGAATAGGATTTCCCTAATATATGGGGTAATAAGTTTTGTTATTATGGTTTTGATGATTTGTCAAACTTTATTAAGGAACCAGATAGGAACATGATGCGATCAGTTCCTTCGTGCCTGTTGTGATATGCTTCGTGGTCTGGCCAAACGTCCCCGAGAAACCGATAGGGAAACAGATAAGGGATCAGATAAGATCAGTTCCCCAGCTGTCGTACAGGCAACTCTATAGTTGTAAAAGTTTTTTCACTGTACCGACTGTCAGCAGTGCAGCAGCACCACCGCTGTTGCTAGAGGCCAAACCAAAAGATGTATAATGTCCATATCTCTTCACACGTGCTCTCTCATATATAAATAACATTATAAAAGGTTTGACCTAACACTTGATAATCTAAAACACCTATTATCTCGAGTGACAGCCGCCACTATATTCTCTAGGTGTACCCAAGAACAAAGTTGCTACAAACCAAGGACCGCATCCCAACACTGAAGATGTCTTGAGTCCCTATGTTTGTTAAGTCTTTGTCTGTTGTTCTTTACTTGTAAACCTACAAGGCTTTCAAGAAGTATTTTGTAGGATATCATTTAACCATTATTGTTTTGGTTATCCGACTACAGTTAGTCAAGAGTGTTGCTTTGTAATAGAATTATTGCAAAGGGCTTACAATAGAGTTATTTTAAGGGGTGAGAGATTAATAGTTTAATTCCTAGATTGCAATAGGTTGTAATATAAAATTTGCTTAGTTTAGTGGAGTTTAAATCTTATTGGGGCATGTCGTGATTTTAATCCCTTGAGCAATGAGTTTTCCACATATATATCACGTGTTCTTTAGTTATTGGTTGTTTACTTTGAAAACTGATAGAAAACCTAGCTCTCTATATTGTTTAGTGAATTCCTAGTTCGATCAGGGGTATAAATGGTTGGTTTTAACATACAAGGGGTGTATCCAAAACTCAGATCGAACCATTGTTCTCGAACCTGCCTTAAAAGCTTGGTAAGACGCGATCGAGTATTCATTCGATCCAACATGCGACCAATGAACCATTCCTTGGACATATTATTAAGGTATTTAGTGTAATTAACCTTAATCATAATTAAAGGAAAAAAATTACTTGATAACTTAAAAGTATCAATAGGATGAAACAGATGGAGCCAGACATTAATCATTCAACACCTAATTCATGGCATCAGCCGGTGGTCTTCAAGAAGTCCATTTAGGGCTCTATTTTGCACATTAATGGAAATGTCTGCCCACCGACTGCTATCCATTATCTCCTTACCATAAACTAGTCCTTCCACTGTCTATTTCAATTAAAGCTTCTGTGGGTCCCAATTCTCAGATACATTATTGCAGTAACCAGAAGTTTTTATTTCAGTGAAGAATTGTCTTGGAAAAAAAATAATACTTGGATGGCCTTTTATTTTTAGTATAAAAGTGACCTACCTTGGATCATGAAGTATGGGATGAAAATGACACTGAAAGTGTCCGCCCCAACATCTGGAAAAGGATGACCATGTGCTGATTCAATTGGGCACCCATCCCAATTATGTAGGTCCCTATATATCCCTTTGCCTTTCAATAAACAAATCCATGACTAAAATAGAGCTAATTAAACTTATACACATTAAATATTAATTTTTTTAATATTATCTGCGTAATTTATCTACTGTATTTTCTAAGTTATTTAGTTAGACTAGTTATATACTACTAGTTAAAGTATCACTTAACTGTGATGTTATAAAAAGAATTAAATTAACAATGCACAAAAGTTAATCATAGCCTGAGGCTAATACCCTACCCCTCTCCAAGCAACACAACCTAGTGGGGTAGCACTTACTTCCAATCTTGACTAGAGTACTTTACAAGGATTTTGCATGTTCATTGACTTTTTTTTCACATGGCTTTTCATAGAATAACTATAACCATCAGTCAGGAGTATATAAATAAATTGAAGTTACCAAATTATCCTGACCTAAACCCGGGTGCATTTTGAAAAGGGTAAAAGTTGGTGACGGGAAAGAAAGATCCACCAATGGGTAAAGAATATATTCCATAAGCTCCCCACAAGTTTGCAACTTGGCTTCAATAGGGAGTTTCCGTGCTGTTTCTTTTCCTCATATGACCTATATTCTTCCAGAAAAAAAGAAGAAAAAAAAAGAGAGAATCAAGACAAGAACTTGATCATGTTAGTACTTTTATAAGTGGTAAATACAGCAAAGCATAGAGGATATAATGCAACAGTTAAGTACACCTAGACATATACATTGAATTCTTGCTTCAATTAGAAGGACCAAATTGGTACTGAAAGCTGCTGATCATTCATTGAAGAAGATATAGACATATCAAGAGAGAAGTTCAAAATATACATTTCCCAACATATCAGTGGTTGCTTTCTATCAATCCATCTACCAAGATATCTCTCTTATTTTGCTCCTTTCATGATGCATTGCTAGTTTAGAAGATTGTGAAAAGGATGGGGAAAACAGGTAGGTGGATAAAGAGCTTCTTGGCAGGGAAAAAAGATAAAGAGAAAGACAAATTAGAAGGAGAGAATAACACAAGTAATCATCACCAAATCTCTACTACTAGCAATGAGCAACCAACAACACCAATTTCACTCCCTTCAACAACTCCTAAAGAGAAGAAGAGGTGGAGTTTCAGGAGGTCATCAGCCACTCCACCAGGTCACAGGGATTTAAATGCCACTGATATCAACGCCACCACCCCACCACCAGCAGCAAAACAAGAATTGCTTGATTCAGAAAACGACCATAAGAAACATGCATTGGCTGTGGCTGCTGCCACAGCCGCAGCTGCTGATGCAGCTGCAGCCGCTGCCAAGGCGGCAGCAGCAGCAGCGATCCAACTCACTGTTGCTGCTAGAGCCTCTGCACTTGAGGAGCCTGCAGCTGTCAAAATTCAGTCTGTTTTCCGTGGTTATTTGGTAAAACCAATTCTCTAACCTCTTAACAAATTTCCAAATTAATCATGAGAATTCTTTCTGATCTAACTACCAAGATTAGACTTTTATGAAACTGTTCCATTGGTAATTCTATGCAGGCAAGAAAAGCGCTGAATGCACTAAAAGGACTGGTGAAGTTGCAGGCTTTGGTGAGAGGACATTTGGTGAGGAAACAGGCCGCTGCCACTCTTAGATGCATGCAAGCATTGGTAACTGTTCAAGCTAGAGCTCGAGCCCAAAGATTAAGAATGGCTGAGGATGAAAATCCCAGCAATCCAAGGCAATCTGTCCACAGAAAATCTACACAGGACAACAAATTTAGGCACTCATATCAAGTATGTTTCACATTTTCTTTTTCCTTCCATTGAAATTCTAAGACTGTTTCTTGAAAACATAATGATATCATGAAGTCTCTGCATCAATTATATTTGACTAAAACAAAGAGAACTAAGATGAATGTGGCATAGGATTTTGTAACCCTTTTGTTTTAATGCTCCTTTTGGCAATGTAAATCATAGGATTATGATGAGGACATCAAGATTGTGGAAATGGATATTGGTGAATCAAAGGGTAGCACAAAGAGTAGAAATAGCTATTCAAACCAAGGTCAAACGGAAAGAACAGAACACAGATTTTCAACACACAAAGCATACTCAAACCAAGAATATCAACACATCTCTCCAGCACCATCAGCTATAACAGATAACAGTCCAAGAGCCTGCAGTGGCCATTTTGAGGAATACTCATATGGCACAGCCCAAAGCAGCCCTCAATACTACAGTGCAATGTCAAAACCCGATCCATCAAAAATCCCATTCTCCTATGCTCGTTCAGAGTATGTTGAACCAGAATCCCTTTACAATGGGTATCCATTTTATCCTAGTTACATGGCAAATACTAAGTCCTCGATGGCTAAAGCTCGATCCCACAGTGCACCAAAACAACGTCCTGAATCATTCGAGAGGCAACCAAGTAGACGAAGGCCATCAATCGAAGGGAGGAATGTGCCAAGGGCTGTGAGAATGCAGAGATCATCTTCTCATGTTGGTTCCACAGCTCAAAATTATCAGTACCCTTGGTCTATCAAGCTTGATAGATCAAACATTTCAATTAAAGATAGTGAATGTGGATCAAATTGCAGTGTCCTTACTACTCAGACTAATTACTGCAGATCACTTGTTGGCTTTGATGTAAGTTCAATTCTGCAACTAGAATAGTTTAACTTCTATAAACTTGAAAATTAAAGCATGCTACGTGTTACAACAAGTTAAACTGCACTAATAGTATGGTTTTTTTTTACATTGTTAGGGGTCGTTTGGTAGGGTGCATAAGAATAATGCTGAATAGGATATATTAGTAATGCTGATATTAGTTATGCTTGCATTAGTTATGCTGGTATTAGTTATGCTGACATATTTCTTATCCATTGTTTGGTTTGATGTATTAAAGTATTGCATAATTTCTAAAAGAATTATTTGTTTACAAAAATGTCCTCAAAACTAGTCCACACTCTAACTTTTTAAAAGAAATATATGTTGAGAAATGTTTTTATATGAAAAAATTTTAAAAAATTATTTTATTTGTCTACAACAAAACAACAACGACCCAGTATAATCCCACAAGTGGGGTCTGGGGAGGGTAATATGTACGCAGACCTTAGCCCTACCCCGAAGGATAGAGAGGCTGTTTCCAGGAGACCCTCGGCTCAAAAAAACAATAGGAGATGATATTTTAGTACCACAAAAATGCGTAATAAAAATAACAACAATAACAACAACAATATATAAGAGATATGAAATATATTGTAAAAATGCGTATAAAAATGCGTAATTTATTTGTCTACCTATATTGTAAAATAAAATTAAATATTTATTTATAAAAAAGAAAATATGCTAAGTATTTATTTCTTTATTAGGGATATAATTTTATTTCTCACTATTTGGATTATTTTGAACTTGCATTAATATACTAACTAACATATTTTAAACAAGCATAAATTTTGTCTTTAACTAAGCTAATGCATGCATTAAAACCCATTGCATTGCTAATACCATTGTTTTCTATGCATCAGTTATGCATAGGATAATACCAAATAGGATGTATAACTAATACTTGCCTAACTAATGCATAGATTCAAAATGTCTACCAAACAATATATTATTAATACACAAAGCCAATGCATGCATTAGCTTATCTAATGCATCCTACCAAACGACCCCTTAGTCCCCTTAGTGTATATAAGTTAAATCGCAATAAGTTACCACAACAATGACTTCAACATAAAAATTGATTTGTGATTTCCTTTTCTTGATTTTGATTTCAGGTTCAGGGAAATAGGTATTAACTGCATTATCACAGAATGGATCAGCAGAGGAATCTTCAACTAGAAAAAGAAAATTTGGCGAATGTAACAATGTGAGCTCAGGTGTAAAACATGTCAAGTACTTTTGACAAATTTCAGTTTCTATTTTCAGGTTGGTTGGTGAAGAGCCACTAGCATTGAAGCTCTTTACTTGTAGAGTTCAATTTGTTTGTTCAATTATCTACTTTCTTTTTTGGATTTTGCCGTTGTTTTGCATCTATGTGTTTGACGGTGTTCTTAACTTGTTTCCCTATTCAAATTTAGATTTCCTCTGAGGAATAATTGTAAGGTAACCGCAATGAAAGAAGTTGTTCATACTCATTTTAATTTTTCTTTTTGTTTTATTTATTGTGGTAAAAATTCGCCTACTGATATTGTTTGTTCCCTTTATGAACATGTTATTGACTAGGATGTAAATGAATACAAAATCAAAGAACTTTTCGATCTTAGGAAAAAGTTTTGTCCAAGAACTTGAAAGTAAATTCTAAGATAAAAATAGAATTAGTCCTTTTGATGCTAAAGTAACAGACTAAGATAAATATTTCACATGAACTTTTTAATAAAAGAAAGTGGTAACAGGTAATAATACTGATTCATATACTTGTATTAGTTTTATATAAAATTGTGGATAAAAATCAATTTTCTTTTATTTGTAACAACAAAGTCACTCAACAATTTTTATTGCATTATGATAATCATTCAATTAGATTTATTGATTTTTCTGGTGGAAAAATGATGACTTGACCGTCCATATAGACCTTTTAAATATTTTTGGACCATTTAAAATAATTTACAGACAAACAAATTATAGAAACCTACCTATACACTAGGGGTGTCAATAGATATTCGAAAACCGACTAAACCGACCGAACCGTACCGCACCGAACCGATTTTTAGGTTTCTTTTTAAGAAACCGTAGGTTTTTATATAAATCTATAACTGCACCGATAATTAGGGTAGGTTTTTTATTTTATATAAAAAAAAAACGAACCGTACCGAATAAATTTTACATGTAAAAAATATATTTATTTAGTAAGTTTAAAAATAATAATGCATTAAATTTTCTTTGAGCCTTGGAATTATGAAAACCATTACAAGCCAACAAGTAATTAAACTCAAAATACTAATTCCTAAAACCTATTATGCTACTTCTACTTAAACTAAGTTATTCCAAGTATCTTTATTAGCAAGACACAAAGTATTCTAGCAATTATGAGTAGCAAACTAAATGTATTGAATATGTTTCCTTTCATATAATTTAGATTTATCTTTTTGAATATTTAATCTTCTATAGACTTTATTCTTGAGTCCCAGCTTGGTATATCTTTCAACTCGTGTGATTAATAATTTTTTTGCCTTTGTTTGATTTCTTTTACGTTATTGTAGAATAGTTGATGGATCTATACTCTAGCCATATTTCCTTTTTTTTTTAATTCATCACCCTTTAAATAGTAAAAATGTCTAGAGAGTTTTGCTAAGTCCTATAAAAGAACGTACGTTATTGCAATTCTACTTCTACTGGTGAATTTTACATGATATTAAAAAAATACCGAAAATTAACCGAACCGTACCGATACCGAAGAGAAACCGACATGATTAGGACGGTTTCGAAAAGCCTAATTTTGGTTATACATAATAGAATAACCGAAAAATTGGTATGGTACAAATTTTATAAAATAACCGACCGAACCGAACCATTGACACCCCTACCATACACCCAATCTGACCCGACCCGATCCATTTGTAAAGATATAAACTAATCCAAAACTCACGCTCTTTCTTTTTCTCTCAAACTACATAAATTCAATAACACCTTGGACTAGGGGTGTTTGTCGGGCAGATCGAGCGAATAATTACGCTTAACGGTTTAGTTATCAGTTATTGGGTTATAAATGTAGTAGTCTGCTAGCCATCCAATGAAACAACGAGCGGATCAGTATCGAATTAACGATTATCAGACAGTTTATCGACTAAACCAAATAGAATTTTTTTGAACAATAAATAACAAAAGGCCAAATGCATAGTTCAAACTGTCTTTGTTAGTTTTTGAACTATCAATACCATTAAAATTATTATCCACAAAACAATTAGAAAGCACCACTTACAGACAAGCTTCAAACTCTAATTATAAGTGAAGTAGTGAAACAAACCCCACTTAAGTAAAATGGCCCATAGAGGAATTCAATTCGTTTTCACTCATAATTCATGAGAAGCCAGAGCTGACTGCCATTAGCTACATACAGTTATATCATTCTATATTCAACTTCTTACGCAACAATGTAGTAACCAGTTTATATATATAAGGGTAAAAATAAAAATATTAAAATTCTTAATGGGTTAACAGTTTACGCAATAAGAAAATTAAGTAATTTGCCTACAAACTGTTGTCATGACCCGGATTTTGCGCCCTCGGGAGTCGTGATGGTGTCTACTAATGTGAGCTAGGCAAGACAATCATTTAACTACTTATTTCATTACTCAATTATTTCTTTAAAACAAATATAAGACGATAACATGAAAACATCGGAACTTTATATAATTAAGCGGAAGATAACAATTAAAATATCTAAAATTTGCATCTATTACAACTCTTAAAACCTAAAGCACCCAAAATCTGGTGTCATAGTGTCACAGACGGTCTAAGATTTACTACATACAAAGTCTGAAGAAAATGACAATACATTGTTTCTAAATAAAAGGAAAATGAAACAGGAAATAGGGATAGAGGGAGACGCCAAGGCCTGCGAACGCCTGCGGGTCTACCTTGGATCTTCGCGAGGACTGAAGGTAGCCTCCACACTACGTTCCAAAAGCTGCTCCGGGATCTGCACATAGTGCAGAGTGTAGTATCAGCACAACCGACCCCATGTGCTGGTAAGTGTCTAGACTAACCTCGGGGAAGTAGTGACAAGGCTAGGACCAGACTACCAAATTAACCCGTGCAATTCAAATACATATACAGCGGAAAAGAAGTTCAGAAATAACCAGAAAAAATAGGAGGGGGAGCATGCTGTGGGGGAGATAACAGTTCCGAGTAGAAAGACATCAAATAAACGAAAGAAACAACATAACTCGGATATCAACAAAGAATTAGAAATCAATAAATGCACAACATCACCCTTCATGCTTTTACTCTCGTCCTCACCAAAGAGATCATATAATAAAAATGTGCACGGCATTGCCCTTCGTGCTTTTACTCTCTTTCGTCGCCATATAATAAATAAAATCGGCACGGAATGGTACATCGTGCGGCACGACATCACCTTTCGTGCTTTACACTCTTTCCTCACAATAATACACGGCATCACCCTTCGTGCTTTACACTCTTTCCTCACAAAACAAACAGTGCACGACATCACCCTTCATGTTTTAACTGTTTTCCTCACCCAAACAACAATCACAAACAATAGGGTAAGGAAATAAAGGAAATTTGCAATAAGAATCCCGGCAAGGGAACAACATCAAATAAATCAACAATAGCCGGACAAGGGTGACAACATAATGATCTCTTCTCTTTCTCACTTTAACTTCACAATTCACTTCACAACTCGAGCCAATGCTCTAAAAGTTCAGTTGTCACTTATACTTTCACAATTCGCTATACAACTAAGCCAACACTCCTCAATGTTCATAGGTCATAATTCTTTACTCAAACTTTATACAACAATTAGAAACAATCACCAAGGCAAGAAAGATACAACAAAGTCATGATAAACACAATATAAAGACTCACAGACATGCTAGACACCAACGTATAGATACACGTCACCATGCCTATACGTCGTACTCAACAATTATCACATAGCAAGTAAGACTCCACTCCTAATACCTCAAGCTAAGGTTAGACCAAACATTTACCTCGATGCCACGAACATAATTCACGATTCAATTATAGTTTTGCCCCTTGATTCTACCACCAATTCGCTCGTATATAGTCACAAGTTACTTAATTACATCAATAAACGCTAAATGAATCAATTTGAATGCATGAAAATGAGTTTTCTAAAGTTTTACCCAAAAAGTCAAAAATCGCCCCCGGGCCCACATGGTCAAAACTCGAGGTTCGAACCAAAACCTGATTACCCATTCCCCAACAAATCCAAATATATGATTTGTTTTGAAATCGGACCTCAAATCGAGGTCTAAATCCCCAATTTTTGAAAAACCTAGGTTCTACCCAAAACACCCAATTTCCCCCATGAAAATCATTGATTTTGAGTTGAAATCATGTGAAAAGATGTTAATGCTTAAAGAAAACGAGTTAGAAATCACTTACCAATATGTTGGAGAAGAAAGGTTGTTTGAAAAATCACCTCTTATGTTTTTGGGGTTTTGAAAAATGAAAAATAACTGAAAATCTCGTCTTAATATACCCCTGTCAGACTTCCTGTGTGGACCGTAAAAAATCAACTACGGCCACACAGTCACTAGTGAACTTATGCAGACCGCACAAAATCAACTGCGGCCACACAGTCACTAGTTAACCTGTACGGATCGCACAAAATCAACTGCGGCCGAATAGTCACCAGTGCGGACAACACAAAACCAATGCAGACCGTACTAGCAGGTTCAGAGAGCTGCAGTTTTTTAGAACCTCCAATAGCCATGTTTTAAACCTAAGACACCCCGAAACTCACCCGAGCCCTCGGGACTCCAAACCAAATGTGCATACTAACTCAAAAATATCATATGGACCTATTCGTGCGATCACATCATCAAAATAACATGTAAAATCATGAATTAAACCTCAAAACTCAACATTTTCATCAAGAACTCTCAAAGTTCATAACTCTTCAATCGGAAGTCCAACTCACGTCAAATAAACTCTGTTTTTACCAAAATTCACAGTTATCTTTCAAATACTATGACAAGTTTGTACCGAGCTCCAAAACCAATTATACGGGCCCGATAACAATGGTTTCAAATATTAATTCTTTTCTTTATTTCTTAGATAATTCAGTAAAATAATTTCTTTCAAAAACTGATTTTTAAGGCTTGGGACCTCGAAATTCATTTCCGGGCATACGCCCAAGTCCCATATTTTACTGCGGACCCCTCGGGATCGTCAGAACACAGATGTGGATCCGTTTGCTCCAAATGTTGACCAAAGTCAATCATAATCAAATTTTAACTCTAGAATTTCGATTTCTTATATTTTCACATAGAAGGCTTTCCGGATATAGGTCCGGACCAAGCACGTAAATCAGGGTAGGGTAAAAGGAGATTTTTAGGCCTCAGAACACTGAATTTACTTGCAACACAAGTGAAGACCTTTTGGGTCATCACATTCTCCACCTCTAAAACAACCGTTTGTCCTTGAACGAACATA